AAACTGGCTCAATTGAATTAATGCAATTGTAGTTTTACTTTTATTTCACTGTTTTTAGTTTTCTAGCTGATGAGAGATCTTCCTTGCATATGACAGTTATTGTGTCTGGACTGATTGTGATTGTACTCTGGGCCATTTAGGGATAAAAGCTCTGCTCGGTCCTAAAGGGTCACTGCGTTTGTCTGCAACTAAAGCTAAAATCAATCAAAAGCACAACGGAAAAACCAATAGCTGCATTAAGTGTTCCAGCCGGCAGGGAAACACTGGACCAAAGTTTGGTGTTGATAGTTACAGCATGTTATCAAAAGACAGTATTTTATAGAGTATTTTGGTTCAAACAGAGGCAGGAGGGGTTTCTAATCATTGTCTGTTCTCTGGGAGGGGTGTCATTGTATTTCCTGTCTCTACAGGAAGTGACAGTCAGAATGCAGACAGAATGTTTTCTCCTCTTTATTCTCAGAGGACTTTTGTTTGTGCTCACATCACAGCGTTTATTCAGAATGAAGCATGAAGAGGCTTCTGTATCTGAACTCGTCCGAGGCCTTTATGTGAGCGCAGTGGAAGCTGAAGCATCTCTCAGTGTCTCCGTTACCAAGGAGATGAGGACAGAAGGGCTGCGCTGTAATTCACCTCCTGAAAAAGAGTGGGAGGAGACTCTGGAGATCACGAGAGAGATGCTACGGTGTCTTCCGCACTATTCAGACTCGACTGCTTTTCTAAATGACATTTGAGTTTCACATTTGACTTGAGGTTGGCAGTAAATGCTGCTCCACACACACTCGTCTCTGCATGTACTGTGAGTCTGGCTCACTTGCAAAGTGTGTTTGAAGATGTAACATGCGCCAACCATCTAAACTTGTACTGAGAAACGTCTATAAACTAGGGATGCACCGAATGTTCGGTAACCGAAATTCGGCCGAATAAGCGAAAAAGACCGAATAAACTGTACCGAACAATGACGTGACGCTTTCAAATAGCAACCAGCGTAGAGTGAGAGGCGCACACTCTTTATTATGCAGCACACACGTCAGCAGTGTGGAAGCATTTAAACTGTCCGAGGTTCTGACAGCGCTGCATGAACTTGCGGTGCTATCTGCTCGTTAGCCAGGGTTCAAAGTCCAAACCGCGAGGAAAATCTGCGCTGTAACAGTGTACTCGGTTGCTCAGTCAACATTTTTATGATTATTATTATTTTTTTTACAAGACTTATTCGTAATGAGACTCATTTATAAATCTGCTGTTGTCTTCCTGCGTGTTTTTTTCGCCAAAATAAAAGTTGAGAAAAAGCAATAACTCCATAAACAATCCTAAATGTTAGTATTGTAATTTTACTGTTGTTCTGTAAAATAAAATAAAAAGTAAGACAATAATAATGATAATTTCAACAGCTCTGTTAATACATTTATTATAACATTCACAC